CGTTGGCGCCGTTGGGGCCGTTGGCGCGGGCGCTCACGCGGCTCGGCCTCTCCTCAGGCGCGGGCCCGTGACCATGCTGGGAGGCGACGAGTTCATCAGCTCCCCGCCGAGGAAGACGGTGCGTTTCGGGGGCACCCTCCCCGACATCCTGCTCAAGTACGAGAAGGTGAGTGCGGCGCCCGGCCTCGCCGCGTGGCGCCGGCCCAGGAGGGACTGAGGGTGGCGGAGCCCTTGGGCAGGTCGGGGCATGTCTGTGAGAGCGGGGCCTGGCTGCCGCGGGGTGTGACTGAGCAGGGTGCAGAGCGAGCGCGACTGCTTCTGCAGGGAGACGCATGAGAGGGGACCTGAGAGCTGACGCTGCCCCTTGGAGAGYGCCCTGTCGCTGCTGCTTCTGCCTTAGCTGAGCTCTGACACCGATCTGTGTCACTGCTGCCAGTGATGGCGTGTTTAGATGTGCTGATGAAGGCTCTGTTTGTCCCTACTGACAGAAACACCCAAAAGTTTCTTCTTTCTYTTCCTCTACTAGGGCGAAACCACTGATTTTGAGTTGCTAAAGCATCAACTGTCAGATCCAGACATAAAGGTAAGAGGTCTTGTAGCAAAGGGGCTGATGACTTAAAGCTTAGTTTTGGGTGTGAATGGATTTTAAGGATTTTGTTGTTTCATGTTATTTATGGAAATTGTTACTTTTTTTTTCCTGCCTTTCTGCACCTTCTAAGGATGCCCAGATCATTAACTGGCTGCATGAATTCCGAATTTCTGTTGCATACTTGACGAAAGACTTTGAACAACTGGTCAGCATTTTGCTGGTAAATATCTGTGTGTTATGTGCAAACATTTGGAGTTAGTGCTCAGAATATCTCTGTGTTCAACACCATGCCCCTTACTTGCTTTCAGAAATTGCCATGGTTGAGAAGAAGCCGAGATGTAGTTGAAGAATATCTGGGTTTTCTTGGCAACCTGGTGTCRGCACAAACTGTCTATCTTAGGCCATGTCTCCGCATGATAGTATCACAGTTTGTTCCTCGTAAGTTACTTTTTTTTTTTGTATTTGCTCATTAAAATTTCTCTTCTAGACATCTAGATGTTTACACATCTGCTGTTTGTTTTCTGTTGATTGCTTTCTTCACTTGGACTGTAAACCAATTCAGTTATTCATTTTATAGACGTTTGATTGCAGAATGCTAATACTGTCAGTTACCATTTCTAAAAATATCTTGGAGAGGGATGAACTGTATTATGTTATTATCATTGAAAAACAAATGTTGAAAGGAGGATTGTGTCAGTGTTCTAGAGAACCTCCTGATTCTATGAATGAAAGTTTATTTGACGAGCACAAGCTGATCTAGGCTGATTATAGAAAGTCATGTGGATAGTTTTGATGCTTTAGTCCTAGGTCTGTCATCCATTGTGGTTTGATTTGGCACTAAAAGTGTTTCCTATAATACTTGACATAATCTTGAAATAATAATCTCCCTTTTTGCCAGCTCGGATAACTATCAGAGAGGATGATGTGGATATTTCAGATTCTGATGATGATGAAGAAAGTGAGTATAAAGGAAGTGTGGGTTGTGTATGTTACTGCAATACCTTTAGTAACCAGTTGTAGGGTGCTTGTTTAATTCCCAAGTCAGAGGATTTCTTGAATTTTTGAAAAACAGTTTCTTGAATAAATGACATGGTGACATGGTCCACTTTCCTTTTAAATATTGCTATCGTTACAGTATGTGTAGGAATAAGACAAACAGGAAACAGTTCCCAAACTACAGATTGTTTTTAAAATCAAAAACTGATTTTGTTATTGTTCTCATTTTATTTACCTAAATAAAACCAGGTAGTTGTGGGTGATTGTTGGTAGGTTCTTGGATAAATACAAGTGTATTAGTGTGTTTATTGAATAGGTCAGGAAAAAGYCTTTAAAGAATTTCATGTCCTTATCTTGCACCCTGGAATAAATTCCAGTTTTGCTGTGATGAGTGAGCTACAATTCTGATCTTCACTGTGGCTCTTCTTGGATAAACAAATCTTCCCTTCTCCATTTAAAAACAAAATAAACAAAACAAAAACCCACCACATTGCCATATTATTATAGAAATCAAATTAGCTTTTTATTGACTACTGTAAAAATGAGACACGATCTTTTGGTATGTTTTGGCCAGTTTCAGACTCAGATGTAATATTTTCTAACTATTTCTGTATTCCAGACTAAATTTGGGGTGTTAATGCTTAACATTCAGTGTGAGAGGGTATAGCAATAGTACCTGGCTTCAGTGGTGGCAGTAGATTCAGAGCTTATTGATTGTGATATTATGAACTTGGTTTAGAATTACTATTTACTATAATTTTGTAGTAGGCAGTTCAACTTGGAAAACCAGTTTTGGCAAATACGATTTCCTTGGAAATCTTCAGAATACTTAGATGATGAGAACTATTTTCACTTGTTCATGGATTAGTCTTCTGCATGCAGTTTGATGAGAGTACTTTTTTTTCCTTTTCTAGACCTTTCTGAAAACTTCAATACATGCCATAGAGCATTGCAGACTGTAGCAAGATACGTTCCTTCGTAAGTTTATCAACTCATAGTTTTGTTTCTTTGCCCTTCCTTGCAGATTTAAAGCTTGTAAACTGATTCTGTTCTGCTAATTGGAAGTGTAATGCTTAGTTTCATGGCATGATTTTTTTTCCTGCTATTCGGTAACCATGGAATGTTGTGTCCTATCATTCTGCAATTTGCATAGACCTCAGCAGCTGAAAATCTTGTTAATTTTAATAGAAATGAGGAGTGGGGAAATTATGTTGATAGGAACATGTTTGAAGTGGCTTAAAAGAAATCAGCAGTGCAAGTTTGCCACTTATTTGTTCTGCTGTACTGCCAAAACAGATTTTGTATAATCACTTGTCTTAAAATTTAGAAAAAATAAAGTTGAGAAATAAGCTTATTCCAGTCTTCTTTTATAGAACTGGAGCTTCGATATTTGTTCTTATGATGACACTTTCAGGTTATTTACCTGTTTATTCATCTTTATTGCAGAACACCTCAGTTTCTCATGCCAATACTGGTGGAAAACTTTCCGTTCATTAATAAATCAGAAAGAACTCTGGTAAGAACAAGGAAAATAGTTTTGTTGTATGCAAGTTGAAGAGTTCTGTTTTGTACCTGTATTTATAGGGGAACACACATGTTCACATAACTTGCCTGTTAACATGTTTGAATTATGTTCAGAAGAGCTGTAGGAAGATTTGTGTGTAGAACTTAGAATTGTTCTTAAATCTGCTTATTGCAGTAACCTGAAATAAAGATTTTAAAGAGTTCTCTTAGATCTGAGACTAGACATAGTAAGGATTTTGCATGTAGTTTTCTGTTTTTAAAGAGAAAGCTTGAACAAGCTCCTTTGGAAATTAATATTTAACATTTCTGCATTTATACTCCCTCTGTTTAAATATTTTAAAAATTAGCATGGAAATAGTAGATTAATGCTAACACACAGTTTGGATTATCCATTAATTTATTCTAGCTTGATTTCTTAATTGGAAAATTAGGTGGAAATAGACTGTATTCAAACAGATTTTTTAAAATCTTTAACTGGAATATTCATTTCTGCTAATAATGCTCTAGATGCTTCTTTTAATTTTGTGTTACAGGAATGCTATGTTCATAACCTGCTACGAATTACGGTGTACCTTCCAACGCTGAGGCTTGAAATTCTGGAACTTATTATTGAAAGGTTATTAAAGCTAGATGTAAGTTTGTGCTGCATCATTTTTTAGGGAAGCACAATGTTAAAATGCACAAAATCTACTCTACAAAAAGTAGAAAGACTTTTCAGTGTTTATCTCAACAAGAAACTTGTTCCGTTGATCTGTTTTACTTTTGCCTTGAAGYGAAGGGATTATTATTCCTGAAACCACAGCAGAGGAAGCATTGCAAATAATCAGTGTTTGTTCTGTTTTGTGCAAGGGGAAGGCTTATCTCTTGGAAGTGAAGTTCTGAGCAGAATGTTCAAATATATTAGTGCATATTTAGTCATGGATGACATCTTTTAAAAGTTATTAATATTATTATGTCTTGTGCAATTAATAAAACAAGGCCCCAAATTACTGCCATAGACTTAAAAAACTTAATTTCTCATTTGCAACTGTAGGTTAGCACTCCACAGCAAGATATTGAAGATGCTGAGGAAACTGCTAATAATTCTGATAGTGAGGAGAAATCTACAGAGAAAGGACTGTTTGACATGGTGAGTGATTGTGCTCTACTGAAAGCTTTATCAAATGTTTTATTTCTTTGGTGACTGAACTAAAAATTAGAATAACATAGGAATATATTGTTGTTTTGCTCTGGACTATAAACGTATGAAACTCAGATCTTCAAACTTGAACAGCTGATAAATGTCTAATCTATTCTCTAGATGTTGATTTATTCAGATGTATGCACACTGTGGAATAATGTCCTTATGTAAGAACACAAGCAGCTATCTATAAACCTTATGAAAGAGTTCATGATAATTCGCTTAGCTTACAGAAATTTGCTGTGATAAACCCTGCAATTAGAGGTGCTGGGATTTTTTGATTTTATTTGTATGTGTTAAAGATGCATGACTGCCATTTTACCTACCAGGAGGAAGATGTAGAAACAAAACAGAACAAAGTTGCCTCTTCTGGTAGCGAGAGAATGGCCCATCCACTTGCAGAGCGCCTGGACATTTTGATGACTATTCTATTTGCTTATATTAAAGATGTCTGCCATGTAGATGGTAAGAAGACAGGAGCTCTACATGATTTTTTTTGTTTGTTTGTTTTGCAAACAAGTAAGAAAAACACAAGTTACTCTTGCAATATGAAGCTGTGATTCTTCAGTGGTCAGATTCTGCTGTCAGCAAGCTGCAGGTCAGATTGTCACCTTTGTCAGGTTTTTGTCAGAGGTGGATGCGAGGGACATTTATGATACTGAGATCTATTTTTCAGTCTCAGACATTTTGATTGTATAAACAGATACACAGATACTTTTCAGATACCCATTAGATCAGGACTCTGAGAAAGTTTTACTACTACTACTACTACAGTTTTATCTTAAATGTCAGATAAACCCAGAGATAAATTGACAGTGTTCGTTTAAATGCCTGTTACTGGTTTAGAAAGATATTTATAAATGTGATTGTTTCGCAGGCTGAGGGCAGGAAAAAATCAAACTCTTTTGTGTTCTCCTTGTTATGTAGGCAAGCTTGATATTGGCAAGACAAAAGATTTGTATCGGGACCTGGTTTCTGTTTTTGACAAGCTCATTTTACCAACACATGCATCGTGTCATGTACAGTATTTCATGTTTTACATTTGTAGCTTCAAATTGGTGAGCATACCCTTTAAATGAAATATCTTCTGTTATTTCAAATTGCTTTTCTTTTGGTTTTCCTACAAAAAGTGTCTTGTTTGCAGGGGTTGGCTGAGGCGTTTTTAGATCATCTTTGGAGAAAACTGCATGATCCAAACAATCCTTCAGTGATCAGACAGACTGCTGGGAGTTACATCGGCAGCTTCTTGGCTAGAGCTAAATTTATTCCTGTTGTGTAAGTTGAYTTATTTCAAAGTTGTTTTTCTCAGTTGTTCCTTTCTGCACTGCTGTTTCAGAATTCTCTTTTAAGTTTCCATACAATTTTGGTATTTATGGAGTGTAGACTAGTGTGCTGGGATTCAGGACTTACTATTTAAGGCTTTTTTTAACARGAAATGTTGCGCGGCAGTAAGATATTCTTTACTTCAGTCAGTCACAGATGTGATTTTCTTACTGATTTTTTTTTTTCATATCTGAATTGATCAAGGATCTCAGGTTATTATTCTTACATATTGTTTTATCCATTATAGTACAGTAAAAGCATGCCTGGATCTCCTGGTTAACTGGATGCACAAATACATCGATAATCAGGATACGGGCACTAATGCTTACTGTGATGTAGCTCTCCATGGGCCATTTTATTCCACGTGTCAGGCGGTATTCTATACACTTGTTTTCCGTCACAAGCAACTTTTGGAAGGCAACTTAAGGAAAGGTGAGCATGCTCAGTTTGAAAGGAGTTAGATTTATTTGCAAAATGTGTTGTTGATGTGTCTTGTAATGGTCAGTTCAGTCAAGTAACTGATTACAACTTTAAGCTGTTGTATTTTAAATGAAATAAGGTGGCTTTTACACACCTTRAACTGCAGAACTAAATGATTTTGGCTTTTGCAATTCAAAACAAGACAATAAATCCTCAACCTAGGTTTCTATCCATGCTTTTTGAGCATGTTTGAATTCCAACTATCTAGGACAATTAATGATCTGTCACAGAGGGTCTGTAATGGTTCTGTGCTTTTGTCAGTCCCTGTAATACAGGTGTATAAATGTAGCGTTCACGTTCCTAGCTTACTGTGCCTGGTAGAAGGGTCCATTGATGTGACGCGTTACGAAATATTAGAAAAGCCTTTCTGCTAAATGAGCTGTGGATAAAGAGACAGCCCTTTTCTGTCTTGCGGAATGTGTTTTTGTGGTTTTGTGCAGAATTCTCAGAAATCGAGTAAAGCTTCTATGATGTATAATGGGTACTTTTAAATTGTTCTTCTTTTTGAAGGTCTGTCTTATCTACAGAGTTTAAATTTTGAGCGCATTGTTATGTGTCAGCTAAACCCTCTGAAGATTTGTATACCATCTGTTGTTAACTTGTTTGCAGCTATTACCAGGTACTATTCATTTATTTCATTTTCAACTTGATACAATTACTGTATGTGTGCATACAATAATAGCTCAGTATTCAAAACTTACCTGTGGGCTTTTTTTTTTTTATGTTTCATAATTTTTAGGCATGGATAATATCAAGTATTAGCCTAAGACTAGTMCTATGATATTGGTCATATTTTACACAGGATAAGTTTATTTCTGATTCAGATTCAATGAAATTTTGAAGTATTATAGAAATATTTCATTGCTTTATGTTGATGCTAAAGCTTGTAATGTATGGTAGTGCCAATGCTCCTTACAGTGAAGTTTTCTGAAGTGCTGAAGAAGAGAATGGACTTTAAATACACTTGTGTTCTGTGAACTGCTAGGAACAGTTACAAAACAGTGGATAGAAGTGATGTTTCTTAAATATAACACTTTATTTTAAAAACATTGGAAGTCCTTTCTGTTTTCTGGAAATATTTATGTTTTTCTTCATTTTTGTTACTTCTTTTTAAAAAGGAAATACCAGCTAGTGTTCTGCTACACAATTATTGAGAGGAACAATAGACAGTTTATACCAGTTGTTCGAAGTGGCACTGGGGGTGACTTGGTGCAGACTTGTACTAACCCACTGGACAGTTTCTTCCCCTTTGATCCCTACATACTTAAAAGGTAAAGTTCAAAAGTGATMAACTAATTTTTTGCCTTGTAGAAGATAATGAACTGAAAAAAAATAAGAAACTTTCAGTGTTTCTGTAATACAGTTTCTTGGCCATCTTCATTACCTTTCACATTGAGTATTTTAGGAAGAGCTTGTCAGTTTTAACTGAAATTTAACTCCATTGGAATACATGTTATATGGAAGGAAGATAAAGATCAAGTTTCCTGTTGAGGTCTGATGTTATGTTTGGTGATCTTTATCCGTTCCAGATCAAAGAAGACCATTGAACCTTTTTATCAGTTTTGGGAAGAATTGAGTGCTGAAGATCTTGAGAATCTGAAAAAGCCTATTAAAAGGGTAATCTTTTTTGACAAAAAAAAAATTCTTCTTTTGCCAAATCTCTATCAGCTGCTTCTATTGCAGTTCACTGTGAGGGTGACAAAGCACTGGAACAGGCTGCCCAGAGAGGTTGTGGAGTCTCCTTCTTTGGAGATCTTTAAAACCCGCTTGGATGCAGCCCTGTGCCACGTGCTCTAGGTGACCCTGCGTGAGCAGTGGGGTTGGACTCGATGACCTCTGAGGTCCCTTCCAACCTTCGGCATTCTATGATTCTATGATTCTACTAATTTTAAAAATGAGTGTGACCTAAAATGACCATGTAGTTAATCTTCGTGGGAAGCTGTGGTTGAGATTATTATTTCATTTGAACTACTCATGCCAACTGTAACACAGCTTAAGTTTTGAATTATTTTCATCTGCTACTTCTGTGTATTCTGTTTACTTTTTCATGGAGAGTGTCAATCCTGTGTTGGCTTTTTGTTCAAGTTCTTGGAACTTGTGAAGTGATTGGAGTTATCTCTCTGCTCTTACCAACCCTTTTAAATTTATGCAGGGTACTTCTGAAGATGAAGATGATGACTTTTTGAAAGGAGAAACTCCTCAGAATGATGGCATGGTTGGAATTGCTCCAAATTCTTACGAGTCAAATACCCGGAGCCCAGTGAGCCCCACAGGCTCCCCTCTGGACTGTTATGTGCAATACCCACACTGACCTGCAGGAACAGAAGTGAACGGGTTAAAATTGTGTGCAATTTTCTGCTCTTCAAAGAGACTTTAACTCAAATTTCTGAACTGGCAAATGTTTAAGTAACTGCATTGAAGAAAAAATGTTTCTTAATCAGATTTCTACAGATACATTATGAGAAATTCATATGTTCCTAGAAAAATCTAGTGAATAAATAGGGTGGTATTTTACAAATTTCACATTGAAATGTTTTTTATGACTTCAAGGGTTTTGTATAGTTTATTTTCTTGAATTCAGAAGCTTTTGTTTACTAATTTTTCTCTACAAGGCTTTGTATATTGAGGTGAAGTTCTGGGCTTTCTTCCTGTTTATTTCTGCAGCACTGGGATTCTAATGTTAGCGTTTAACCCATGCTCTGCTGGCTGTGGTTTTGAGTTAGTTTCAAAGGAATGGTATGAAACTGTGCCAGGGAAGCTGTGAATCCAGTCTGACTTCTATTCTTTTTGCACACATCCCTTAAGTGTTTCCCACCTGTAGAATAGTGTTTCGTGAAGCCATTTGTAGTGGAGAATATATTTGGGTGATGAGCATTGTCACTGTTTAAATATATAGCTGACAAAACTTTTCTGAACGGATGGTTGCTGGAAGTGTTGAAAATGACCGAGTAAGTGACTGTATGATTTGTAGATAGCTTTCTCTGAGATGCCAAAGAAGCGCTCTGAGATATTTATTTCCAGACGTCAAAGTTCATATGTGAATGCTGAAAATAAAGAAGAAAAAGCCCCATGTAGAAAGAAATGGTGTGCGCTGTTCCTGTGTCAGTGAAGAGCTGCGTCACGTACACGTTTCATGGTTTTTCATGACTGCTGACTGTTAGATGTGAGAGGGAACATAATGGTGGAAGAAAAATAAATGTTGTCTGTGTAACAGTTGAAAATGTCATGAGTTGGGGTACAGCTCTCAGTAGCTGTGCACCCGCAGTTGTCTGCCGTGCTGGAGTGTGACTTCGGAGGCTTTTGGAGCCACCCGGCGTGGCACAAGGATGGTGGAACCAGCACTGCTCCGCACCCCGGCCTCTTTCTGGGTGAGGCTCGTGCCTCAGAGCAGAGGAGGGCAGACCCGGAGCAAACGCCACAACCGCTCCCCTTAAACGGAGCAGGGCTGGAGCTGCCCCGCGCCCGGGGCCGGCAGCAGCTCCCGGCCGCTCGCAGCGGGGCCACGACTGGGGCCGCCTCGGCCGCCCCCGGGGCCGGCT